GCTCTTCCTGAAGTGTCTGCTGTTGGCCACGTTGGAGACAGGGTACTGAACTTGATTATCTATTAGTCTGGCATGGGTTAGTCATTTTTGAAGCGAGCCAGGAGTTTTCAGGCATGTCTGTGCTTATAGGGGATATCGTTCTGTGAGCACAGGATGCTGCCTAGTTTAATGAGAAAGCTGGGCTAGCAAGAACCCTTAAATATTTATTGTTCTTCCAAGTTGATGTCTAATATTCTTTCAACATAACCATGCATGCACATGGTCTGAATTTACAATTTGCCTGTCTTCTGGCATATTTAAAAAAAAAAGAAATTCCAAAGTCAATACCGTTGGTAGACCATAGGAAGGTGCATGCAGGTTTTTGTCCTTTGGATTCCTCTGGATCTAAACTTGGAAGCAACGGTACTTTTTCTCTTCACTAGTTAGGATAACTAGGCTGAATTTATCCTTGCTTTGAGGGAGAAAGCAATAACATCTACTCCAAAAAAAAAAGCTTATTTAATTTCCTTTTAGCCTGTATTATGCTAGCCCAGGAAGTACTCCAGAGAGACTACTTAACAGACAATAAAAAACCATAGTGATGAGTAGTTTGGGAGCATGAGCAGTACGAGGAAGTACAAGAGATAGGGTGAGTCTCTTTTGTACAAAACTAGAAAGCAACTTGAATAGGTTTTTTTCTGTATTTTCAGGGAAAACTAGGGTAGGGAAATATTATCAGAATTCTTAGTTATACACGTGTGTGTAAAGTAAAGCCTACTTAACATTAGCCACACTCTGAACTGTTAATTTCTTATTCTTATGTTTTCTTCTGATTTAATCTGCTGCATTGATCTATATTTAGAAAAAGATGATAGTTTATTATAGGTGGGGGTTATTTGCATGCTTTGTTCTCACAGTAGGTAGAAAGTAGTGAATAAGCTGAAAGATGTATGAAGCAGGGGCCTTCTTGTCATATGCAATCTACGGGGTGCCTTGAGTGTTAGAGCCTTGGTGTTAATACAGCGTACGTAGTAAGAAGTAAAAATCAATCTTAAAAGGCACTGCATAGGGAGTATTTAGCTTATAAGGATGTTACTTCATATGTTAGAGGTTTCTTCTTGTGTGATTAAGTACAAGTTTTTTGAAGAGAAGAGTTTTCTTACCTAAAGAGAAGAGTTTTCTTACCTACGTATCCCAGAATAAATTGTCACTTATCTTGAGAATTTTAAGTAGCCTTTCATTATGGCATTCATTATATGCTTCCTACAAGTCAGTTTTTCAGTGAGTGTGTATCTCCCAAAATCCTAAGAGTCTTTGGAAACTCTTTGTGCTCTCTAAAAGCAGGTCACTGTTGTTTTCTGTGCGTTATTTCAAGGACTGTTAAGATTTTGAAAACTGATTTTTCTCTGTAAATTGGATTCTTATCATGCAAAAATTTAAAAGAAAACGGTCAAGTAAGATGTCTGCAGTGTGTAAGACATTACTTACCTTTTCTGTGATTGCTTAAGCCATTAGCATGGAGCTACAGATTTTAGCCTGTGGTTTGGGTAGTGCCATCTGGTTTTAACTCAAGTAATGGTGTATAGATTGAAATAATCCTTCGATTGCAGTCCATCATAGCCCTTTTTCTTTTTTTTTTCTGCATAACCGTTGATTCCAGATAGGCTAGCAAAAGGAGATTAATTGCACTCTTTGAGACTGTTTCCCCTGCAGTTGAAAGAAGTATGATTGATATGCAATGTCCCAATCTGAATGAATTCCCTGTCTGATTACATTGTATAGCAAGTCAGTGATTTTAACAGCGTGAGGGTCCTTGGTTCCTTGCTCGCTGATCCTGAATGTGTGTGTATCTTATTGCCTGGCAGTATAAATTATGCCCAGATTAGGTGGGAGCATGTGGTAATATTTCTACTAAACGAGCCGGAGCACGTGTCACAGCATTTATTTTAGTTTTATACGGGTTTTGGGAAGAAAATGGTATCTGGTCTGGCATGAAATCTGTAGAAAGTTACCATTTCAAAAACTGTGAAACAATGTAAATCAGTAGATGGTGCCAATTAATTGCTGTCTGTCCTTTGAGACATTTTTGATCTAGTGTTAAGAGTTTATGGAAACTTGCACTGGTGTTTATTTTGGCTGAGTAATTGGAGGACATCTGGATTTTCTATCTGTTCCATAGAACTTTATGAGGACATTGTGAGACTAAAGGAAAGTGCTAGGCACCAGTACAAAAATATCATGTTTTGTTTTTTTTTTTTTTGAAGAACAGAAAAATGTGAGGTTGTTATTAAATTCAGTTGAGTTATAGTAACTTACTAGGTTACTGTTTGTCCACATGTTTTCTGTGATAGACTCTTAGCCTCCCCAGCTGTGAATTAGAACTTGCTTTATATTTTGTTTTACTCCAGTCAAAAATCAGACTACAAAGTTCCCCTCTGGTGCTTGAAACAGAAGAATCTTCTGGTGCCTGGACATAATGCAACAGAACTTAATATGTTTCTCTCTCTCCCTGGCTGTCTCTCGCAACCTACGTTACCTGTAGGTTTTTCTAAGTGGGCATTGGTGTTGTCAGCAGCCGTGGACTGTGTGGGCCAGAATGAACTTTACTGTGCCAGTAATGTGAACTAAAGCTATGTTAATTTGTCCTGATGTGTCGTGAGCATACACAGAAGAAAGATACAGAAATCTTGTATCTGAATACTTTTTTAGTGCATGGCATTGGAGCAGTAAAATGATTTTTCCTTTTAGTTCGCTGTTGTGCTAGACACTGAGACTGCTTTACTTCTTTGGGATAATGTTCTCATAGTGACTGCTACTTTCTCATTAGAAAGGAGCAGTTTCTAGAAAGAAGCAAGCTTTCAGCTATTTCCTTTCGAAAAAAATCTTCTGATTTCCGTATCGCTTGAACATCTTACGATTTAGTTCTACACAGTCAAATATGAGATTGTCCTTATTGTCTCAGGTCTATATTCCATCTCTTGATATGACACAGTACTTCTGTACCTAATGGCATGTGTGTAGGGGGAAATTGCTCCAGTCTCACATTTGTTGGACTAATGTGTCATGGTCAGCCTCTGTAAAAAAACCATCATACCAAAAGTCAGTCATAATTGCTGAACAGTGAGGGGAAAAGCTATGCTATGTGATCTGCAAAACATTGCACTGTGTGTTTGTAACCAGTTCACTTGACTTCTTGCAAGAGAAGACGTGGACCGAAGGACTGATAGCGCTCAGGGGAGAAGAAGCCGGGGTTGGATGCACTGATGCAAGGATTGAGTTGGGAACGCATCATTGGGGCAAAGTTGTGGCAAGCACCAACTCAGACCATCTTCTAAAATGTTATGGAACTGTACCTTCATATAAGTGCTGAGATTACAGATGGTTATCAACTGAACAGAGGTAGTATAGTATATTGAAATGGATGTTTAACCCTTTGATTTCCTAGAACAAAGTTATTTGTCATCTTTAACCTCATCTGATCTTTAAGAGGATCCGGGTAATTCTGACAAGCACCAGACGTGTTATCTGGAACAATTGTCTCTGGAAAAATGATGTGCTGTTGCAGACACGCCCAGGCCTGTATGCTGGGACACGTTTGGGAGTTTGCAGAGTGTGAGTGCATGGCACAGCACCTGCAATGAGGCATTGAGGCTGGCAGGGGAAGTGCCAGGTTTTGGAGTCTAGTTTATCTGACGGTAATTATCAGGTACTCTTTTGGCCAGAGGGTCAAGAGGCAGGCCATAATTTCATCTACCTTGATGAGAAAAGAAGAAAAACATTTCTGCTTGGAAAACTAGCTTCCCATTCGTTGGTTAGGAACTTTGCTGTCCGTCGAGAGCCTCGGCCACCTGAGGCTGCAGATGCCAAAACCCTTGTATTTGAAGGAACGTGGGTATAGATTAGACAAACGCTTTTTGTGGCTTCATTAAAACTCTCAGTCCATACCAGTGCACAAGCTTTTACTCCTCGGTCATATCAGGTTAAGCAGGGCTATTTAACAATCTCCCACACGTGGCTGCTTGTTCCTGTCCCTGCTCTGCCCTTTGCTTTGTGCTGGAACAAAGATTGTGCAGCCGTTCAGCTTCCCAACCCAGTTCCCCGATTTGGCTCTTCCACCCACAAAATATAAAACCAACCCAGCCAAAACACGGAAATCCCCCTCACCTCCCAGCCACATCCCTTCACTCTTTCAGTATATTACACAGCTGCGCAAAAGCTTGTTCCAGCACAGCAGAGTGACAAGAATGAGTGATGGGATGCAAGTCTCCCTAAGCTAGTTCTGCTGCCTAAGAAATGCAGATCGGTAGGAGTAGGACTACAGTTTGCTGTGCAATATGTCTAAGGTTCCCAAACTGTAAACCTCCCTTCACAGCAACTTGTAATCGATGTGAATCATAACTGTCCATCTTCTCATAGATGTTTTTTTTCTTTACCCAGAGAGATGAGAATTGCTTATGAACGTTTAAAAGTTATAATTGTACTTCTAAACTAAGAAGTACTAATAATTTTATCAAGTACAATGTTGATCCTCTTTGCAGTTCGTGTTTAGCAAATAGTATTTGAGAGTCAACATACTATAGGATTTTTCCTTCGTCTGGGACAAACATACTGTGCATACTTATTTTTATGCTATGTTATTCTCTTTTCCCTTCCTAATAGAATATATTGTCTACTATGTTTAGATGGTACTATAGTCTGAAGTGAAGCAGTAAGCTATATTTTAAAAGCTTTCATTCTATGTACACATTTTATATTGAATCTTAAAATCTGCTTTTCTTGAAATCTCTCTTCTTTTTTAGGTTCCCAAATACTTGTCACAACAGTGGAATAAAGCTTCAGGACGGGGTGAAGTGGGGAAACTAAGGATTGCCAAGTAAGCTTTTATTGTACCTTTGCTGCTGACGATCTCAGACTGTTGACATTGTATAGAGCAAGTTACTTGCAGTAAAATAGATTATGTTGCATCTCCTAGATTACATAATCCTGTTTCTTGCAAACATTGTGTGCATATTTCTGTGAAAACTGAAAGATACCTGCTTGTCTAGGGATTATCAATATATGCATAATAAACAGATCAATATGTGAAATTATAATGGGGAGCAGCTGTATCCCAGAATGTGATGCCTGAGTTCATAGACCCAAGAAATATGCACATCTAACTGGAGAATCTCCTTTAACTTATTTATGTGCTACTTTGCTGCTTCTGTTCTCATCTGCTGACTTTTCCCATTTATTCTTGGGCATCAGCATCAAGAGAAAGTGAGCAGCTCAGGAGTGAAGATGAGTAACAAAACTAGAATTTGAATTTGCTTTGTTATCAGGAAAGCTAAACTTGTGGAAATAGATTATGGAAACTAAAACATTAAATATTTTCTTTTGCAGAAATCAAGGAAGAACAGAAGTAAGTAATTACTAAATACAAAGGCTGTGAATGTGTTGTATTTTCAGTTCTAAAAATTGTTTAGAACACACTGGTTGCTAATGTCAGATTATTTTTTGTTATACTTGTAATGAAGTAGCGTACGAAGGAGTCAGGTGGACAGAATTCTGTTCATAGCTCTGCCCACAGGTTTACTGTGGGACTTTCGTCAAACATCTTTATCTCCCTGTGTTTGTTTACCCCTCCATAGGCAGCTACCGTAGTAATAACCTTCTCTTTAAACGTTTTGAGATGTTTTATTGCAAAAGGCTGTGCGAAAACAAAGGATGATAATGATAAAATAGAAGCTGGAAACGGAGGGGTGCAATTTCAGAAAATATTCCATGTTATATTTGGAATTTGTTGGCTCTATTACATATAAAGCATTAAGCAACTTGAAGGTGTTTCTGCATGCAAAGATAACTACTTTTATTAGCAGCTCAGTGAATAGTAGTAACTTCATGCATCTTTTATGGGAGTTAAGGGAAGTTGCATTAGTAAGAATTACTTAAAATACTAAGTAGATCTGTCACTTTGAACTGGAAGAAACTCTGGGGAAAAAAAAAAAAACTGCAGAGAAGCAGGTTGCATTAGCCATTTGAGAACCTGGCCAAACTCCTTTTAGAATAAGTAGAGAGACTTCTTCTGGAGTTTTCAAAGTTCGATGAGACTTTTCCAGGCTGGAATATGGGCCAACCTTCCTAATTTTGTGAGCCCCACACCAAAATCTTGATGTGGATGAGAGCCAAACAGTGTATTTTGCAGACTTTGTAGAGCCGAGGAGTGAGGAACCCGATGAAAACAGGTGGCATCCCAGGGATGCTATTGCTGTGTGGTGGAATGAGCCTAAACAGGATGTACAGGAAGACACTGCACTTGGTGCTGCACTCCCTGTGCAGGATTCCTGCTTTGTCGTATGGCTAAGGGTTTTGGTTATCTGACAGCCCTGGTACCTCCTCAGTTCTTTAGCTGAGCATATGATGTAAACATGGCAAATGAGCTATATTTGAACTGCTTCTGGGCTGCGTGCAATAGGAGTCCCAGGCTGACCACACTTGTTGTGCTACATTCGCACTTTCTCAGAAATTAAACCTGTTATGTGAAACACTTTAAAGCACTGGTCTGAATGTTGTCTGAGAACCTATTATGACTTACTTTTCCATGAATAAAACAAAATCATTCTCTAACTTCAAGAGGAAGTAGTGTAAAATTTATAAAAGATCAGTAAATTACATTAAGTACATAAAATTTTGCATACTGTATTTCAACAAGAGATCAATATATTAAGATTCTTTTCTCACCCTTTATATTTTAAAATAGAAATGTGCTGTGCTGCTTGTCTTTTCTCTCATTTGTGTTTCCCCATAATTCTGAAGAGCTGTATAATTTAGTCTGTTTAGTAACACTGTGGTAATTGTGACTGTTAGGTGTCATTTACTTTGAATGAAGAGCTTGCAAGCATCAATGATATTGGAGGAAAACCCGCTTCAGTCAGTGCACCAAGGGAACATCCATTTCTTTTGCAAAGCGTGGGAGGACAAACCTTAACAGTGTTCACAGAAAGCTCAATAGGTAAGTTAGAATTAAAGTTATTTGTTACAATTCCAGTATATATGATTTCAATGAACTAGGTTCTGTAAAGGCTGGGAGACGTGCAGAAGTGAGATTTTGCCTTTGTTTTGTGGTTATCTGCATCCGTATTACTCTTTCATTGTGGCCGCCCCTCTTATTCATGTGACTGAGCAGCTCATTTAAGTTCTCCAGATAGGGTTATCTTGTAGATTTCAATTGTGGGTCTGCTGAAGAGAACACAGAAAGAGTATGGAATGCAATACATTGTATAGCCCCCTTTTTAGGGTATTCAGCGGAAAAAATCTTTTGTGTTTCCATATGCTTTTTGGATGACAATGATTTGGGTTTTTTTTTTTTCCTTGACTTGCTCTCTACTATGAATTCGGTTATATAAGAATGATAATTCTCTTTCTGTTCAGTTGAAAAGATCCATTTTAGCAATAAACAAAACATCTGTTCACCAGATTTTCTTTTGCAAAGTGAATCTGTGATTTAAGCTTAATCAAGTCATAATACTGAACAGTGCAACAGCAGGGTTACCATCATTTTTCTCATTGGATTCTAGTTGTTTGTCCTGCCTTGAGTATAGCTCAGTAGCTGTGCATAATGAGTGATTAACATATTCAAGATCGTGTATCCTACATTACATGTTAAACTTAAGATACCTGGTAGTGTTACACAGTACAATACGCATGGCAGACTACCGTGCATATACCTCCAATATGCTGTAAGGTTTTGTACTGAAATTACATAGCCTCGTTTTGGATGTTAGAGAGGAGGAAGGTAAGATGGCTGCAGAGCTTAGTAGAAGATATCTCAGTTCCAGGCACTTAGATTTTGGTGTCCCCGGGAGACACACAAATCTTTTTTGATATTTTTGCCCTCTGTGTGGCAGAAAACTGCGCAATTTGACCTGCTGTCAGAAATGTCTTTAAAACAGGTGCTTATAAACATATGTAATAGTACCGGTTGAGGCCAACTATTCGAAAAGACGAAAACGAAAAACACTTTTTAATGTCAACCCAGAACTGCAACAGCTTATCTAAGATACTTGTGTCCTGGTTCTCCTATGGCAAGAAGCTGCTAACTCTATTAAATTGTACAGCGTTTCAGTAAATGTATTGATAAAAAGGGGCATTTTATGGTGTCAGAATTTAGCTATGTTTCTTTTCAGTTGTAGTGTCATCTAGTTTTGAACTCAGTAAGGGCAGAGGTGCTTTTAAAGGGAAAAACAAACTCTTGGGTGCCTTTACCTGTGCTTTCTATTTATATTTAGGGCATGTGCCATTTAAATTAATTTTTTAAAATGGCTGCATATTACTGTCTTATCCAAGCTGCAATTTCTTCTGGGGAGAAGCACGCTGTGCATCCCATTGAAGCCTTCTGATCCTAAGGCTGGCAAGTAATTGTTGGGATGGCAGTGAGATGTTTTATCAGATGAGTGAGGGAGAATCATAGCTGAGCAACTTTTCAAGAAGTTGTAAGCGTTTCAGTGGTACCCCATCCTTTCTCATTTCTTTATGCCCTGGCCTTAGAATGCTTGAAAGAACTGTGAAATACTTGAAAGAATTCAGATGTGAAGATATTCTTAGAGCATGTATTCAGTGATTTTTGCGTATTTGCTATCCCATGGGACTTTGCTTTCCAAAACATTCTTTTTTTTTTTTTTAATATACAAAATTTTACTTCAAAAACCTCTAGTGGTAACTTAAGCTGCGGTGAGTACAGATGTGTAATTTGAATGTGGAGTATTTGTCATCAGTTAGAATGAAAGTCATTATGATGGGATAGCTTGAAGATGCCTATTTATTTCTGTTTTATCATCTCTAATTCCAGTGTCTTGAGACCACTAGCTAATTAAAATATGTTCTGTTTTTATTTAATCAGTTAAAACATTTGGTATTTCTTAACAACTACAAAGCATTATGCAGGGACCGTGAATCTGTGGAGCAGAAGTTATAATCCGCAGCAAAGAATAGTTACTGAAATGAGAAATGTTTGGAGTGAAGCACTGAATAATCATAGACCTTGTCAGAATTGTTTTGGCTTGAGATTAGCAAGCACAACGTGCAGTCAGGGAGTTTTCATGAAACTTGCATAAAGGCAAAATGACTAAAACGTGTTGCTGTTGTATTACAGCTGGCATTGGCAATACGATCAAAAATAAATTTTTAATGTACTTTTCTTGCATGATTTTTTTGGTTGTAAAAATGAGCAGGACAGATGTATCCCAGATCGCAGCCTGATTTCTTACAGAAGTCGTGTTCATGCATCAATGCTCTTGTGTTTAAATGAGTATCTCCAATAAGTCTGGAGCTCCATGGCAATTTCAGCAAATTTCACAGTGAATTAGAGTTAGTGTGAAAACAGGTGATCTGAACAGTGAAACAAAACTATATGGATACTCTAGCTGAAAGAAAGGCTGCTATATGAGCTCAAACCTTATTTAATGCCAGAATCCACGTGGAAAAGAACCATTATAATTGTGTCAACCATAGGAAGAGACTCAATCAAAGCTTGCACCTCTTTAAACATCTGTGGTAAGAGACAGTCATAGGACATCAAAATTCATTAATTCTTACATCTGCAAAAATTTTTTTTTTCCAAATTATAGTCGGCATATTCTTGTGAAATGGATTGGTGATCTTGCTCCTTTTTCTTTTGTGAAATGCACCATATAACGGAACTGATACGCTGATTTTGAAAGTGGGCCAAAGATTAAGTTGATACAGAATTGCAAATAGCATTTCTAATGTTAAATCTGGAAGGATCATTTGAGGAATAATGTGAATGAACTAAGGATAGACAAGTGCTTCCTGTACTGTTGCTTTCAGTCAATATATTGGGGACTGAACTTACCTAAGTTGAAACAAATTGCGTAAAACAATTCAGTTGCTTTTATATAGTCCCCACCCCCATTTTTCTGGAGCATATTCAGAGCCCAAAGATCTGCTCTGTCTGCTGTCCTCTAATCCTAGGATCCTTATGTTGTGGTAACCATCTTATCGATTCAGAAAGTGCATGAGGGGTGACAGAGCTGCATCTGAAATCTTTTGTAATCAGGGATGATGCTGCAGCGAGTTGTCACATTCTGGCCAGTTCAGCATTTTATCGTGAATTCTCAGGCCATGTAGACCAAGCAAAAGAGATGAAACTTGAGGGATAATTTAACATTTTCTGCATGATTTAATTTCTGGAATGCTGAATAGATTTCCTGTGGTTTTTGTTTTTTCTAACTGAACTGGCTCCTAATATCTGTTGTAGTCAGAAGAAACTACTTTAGTTCTTCATATGGGGCCATCTTCTGAATTTAAGTCTGCCTTTTGGAGTAAATCTATGAAAAGGTAGTGAGGTGCTTGGATGCTTTTGAGGATGATACTGGATTCCTTCATGTGTAATAGGTAGCAGTTGGGGAGGGGGACTTCTCTACCCAAATGCTGGTATTTCTGCTGTAAACCTCTGCATCTCAGGTAGTCCCATATTAGTTAATGGACAGAAACAAGCACTTCTGAGGAGCCATGTGTTATGTCCAAAGTCTAATGAATTGCAGTTTCTTGGTCTTGTCTGCAGTACGTATACTAGATCTGAGCTTATAGTTAGATAAAGTGGATCCTATCCCAGGTACCGTTACAAATCTGGTCTTTTCTGGTTTTCACACACTGTGCTTTCTGTATAGACTCTCTCTAGGATTCTGTACCATTCACTTTTTTACCCTCTGTTCCTGTATTCTCAAATGGCTCTAATGAATAATAAAGAGTAGTATTATACACTCCAAAAATACTAGGTGCAAAATACCACATTCAACTGGTGACTGGACAGCCAGAAGAAATTATGACATGGCAAGAGTTTGGTCCAGTTTAGGAACAGATACCCACTTCCCAGAAGGTGGTTTCGGCTGACTGATCTTGCGCAGCCGTGTTTTCTCTCCTGGCTCCCTTTGCAAGCGTGGCTGCATGTGCGAGACATTTGTGTAGCCTCCCATCGCTGAGTAAATCACGAAGAGCTGCAGCGCTGATCCTGAGGACTGCTTTAACAAAGCTAAGGGGAGGTGTGACTTGTGAAGATTGCAGTGGGATCCAAGGCACAGTTGTCTCTTGCTGTCAAGGTCTTGCTGTCTAGGCTGATTTTGGTATTATTTTTGCATTAAATATGAACTACATTCTGTTCCATAAACATGGCCATATGTACATCAACAGTTGCTATGCAACAATGCTATTTGTGCTTCCAGTCATTTTATCTTATCTTTGTCATCAGCTATCACAGTTGTAATTTTTTAGGCGGGAGGAAAGGAGAGCATTTTGCATATATTTCGGTGTGCTATTTTGAACAAAATGAATTTTTCTTATGCCTGTATAGCTAAGAACTATTTAGGGAAAATCATGGACTTGATAGGGGATGTGTTTGATTAATTTTTTTTTTCTTTCTGAACTTCCTACTGGCAGGGACCCTGGCGTAAGAAGGTGGCATAATTTAACAGTTTCTGTCCTGCTTGAAAAGATGGGAATGTGCTTTTGTTGAATATTTAACAGTAGACTTTTCTGATTGTGGTTATAAATTAATTCTCTCACTACTGTAATTGCCTCTTGGACCATTTTTTCTGCCAGCAGGTAGTTCAGGATTACTGGCTTTAAATATAAACAACCCCTCCGCCCCATTATATTATATATGATGAGAAAGGTTTCTTATTGAGCTAGTTTTGGGAACATTGCTTGGTAAAATGTGCTACTAACGTGACTTGGGAAAACGCGCTTTGGCAGGCAATTGCGTCCCTAACTGTAAGGGATAGGTGGAGAGAAAGATTTTACACTGTAGGCACAAATCGAGTGTAAGATATTTCTGTAAAGTTGGGTGAGATGACTAATTTTATTGGAATTTGGAATTTATCTTCACAACTCACCCTTCATGAATGGGATTGCCTTAATGCCTATTTTAGTGACTTTAAATTCCTTCCTACTTGTTCCGTCTTACTGATACATGGGTAAAAAGTATTTTGGGAATTCCATTATGTGACAGAACGTCACAAGAGGTTTCCAGGTGTTCGTGCATGGATTGTTTCATTGTTTCAAGAGTCACAGAAGATTTCTGGCTGTTAACATCACATTTTTGTCCAGTTTTCTGACTCTTCCTCCTCTTCTTTCAGAATCTCGATTCATGAAATCCATTGTTCCGTGTATTTCCATTCAATAATATAGGTAATTGTTCCAGTATTCCTTAGAATAGCTCCTTTATTCCCACTCCCCATGAATATTCTCCCTTGTTTTTTTTTTTTTTATACAACTTCCGGTATGTGAAAGGAACCTTTTTTGAGCTTGTGCGTGAATCACACTCATTGCATAACTTATAATGCGTTATTGTCTTCCGGTCAAAATGAATATTCAGAATTTGTATTTTGAGCTTATCATCATTGGCCTATGTCTTTGAAATACCAACTGTATCCAGCCATTTTGAAGAAATGCAGAGGGGAGATTTCACTAATGAACTCTTGGAAAAAATGTTTCGTTCTTCCATTAGAGCAGTTACTGCTATAATTACATTTAATTATTTCCAGTAAAATACTTAGTGCTGAGAATGTTAATGCCTTGTGATCTTATTTCCAATCTCATTAAGTGATGTTTGATTTCTCAATTTACTCATTAAACTGCTATTTAGGGAATAAATGCCCTCATCGTTCTGCCATCTTAGATTTGGCTGTTGAGGAGTTTTGACGTATCTGTCTACTTGTACAGTGCTTTCCAGGTGTCTCTGTGGGTATGAGACTGTCACCTAACCACACGTTCTAGTCTCCAGAATGCTTCGAGGTCTCGTTTAATCCTTCCTTTTTCCTTTATGTACTTCAGCCTCTTACAGGCTGGCTGTGGAGTATTCCTGTCCTGCTAGCAGCAGCAGAGGAAAACCGACTGGCAGCCTCATGATCAAGAGAAAGGGAAGCAAGAGCAGCCTTTCAGTTCTCTGGCATTTATGCCGATTTCAAAATATCGGTGAGGATCATAAAGAAGATGCAACCCATGATTGGAAAGGCAGAATGTGTTGCTCAAACAAGTCTGATTACAGACAGCGTTTTAGTGGGTCGCGCTGTCATACCTATTATGACACGCAGTCCGTTAGAAAACAATTGCAGCTGCTTATATCATCTTTCTTTTTCATCTCTAAAAATGAACAGGTTATTTATTTACCTGCTGCATATGAGTGTTGTGTGATTAACAAATTACTGTACAGTGGGTTTCAGCTGGTGTCGGAGTAAGCTCCTAATTTTTTTCACTTTTGTTGTTACAACTATAGCCTCTTAATTCTTGTATGAATTTAAATTGTTTTGCGAATATCATGTACAAAATGTACGGAGTATTAGAATGGATTCACTGCGATTGGAATGGGATTGGCTTTATGTCTGCTTCAGTGACTTTAAATTTCTCTGTTCTTTGGGGCTTTTTTTTTTCAGTCTCGCTGATGTATGAGTAAAAATGTCAAGTCCTGTTGATGTATATGTGGGAATCTTTCATGTTGTGGAGGAGGCAGAACAGCTATACGCTGCGTGGATAAATATATAAAGTAAACAGAATACTATAGTACTTCGTTTGCTTTCTTCATGTAGTAGTATTGAGAAGATTTTTAAGACAGAGACATGTGACCTAAACGTAATAAAAATAAATTGCCTAATGGTGAGAAGAAAAATACACTTCTTTGTGAGGCTTGAATTTTATTTTTTTATACTGCTGATTCTGTTGCTACATACGGGCCAATACACTCACACCACTTGTAGATATCGTACACGTATATTGTTATTTGGATGAAAGATGCCTTTAGGGATTTTTAAGTGTAATATCTCTTTATGCAGTAGTCTTGCCTAGGTATCAGATATTTCATTGCTCGAGTTTTGGGCTATCATGGAGTCACAGAATGGTTGAGGTTGGAAGGGACCTCTGGAGATCATCTAGTCCAACCGCCCCCCAGCTCAAGCAGGGTCCTCTAGAGCACATTGCCCAGGATCGCGTCCAGGCGGGTTTTGAATATCTCCAGAGAAGGGGATTCCACCACCTCTCTGGGCAACCTGCTCCAGGTTGCATATGGTCTGTAACAAGAGGGTTTTTTCTGAAAACAATAATAGCTTTAAAAAAAAAAGTAATAACTTTAAAATCCAACTGCTTCTTTATATCGTGGTCCAATTAGGGTCTGATACCTTAGTATGCTTGCGCGTTCTTCATTAAATCCTATTTGCTTATTGTATATCTAGTGAATTTTTGTGTGAATAAGTTGCATCTGAGTTAGGATATTGTTTGGGTTATAACTTACACTGTAAGTGTGCCAAATACGCAAGAAGAACGTGAGTAAGAAAACACATCTTTTCCTTTGAGCAGGACTATTTTGCAAGTATATCTGAATGTTGCCAGGGATCTTCTCTCACTTTGTGAATGCTTATGGGTGGGAAGAGGCTGTGTATAATTGTGTTTTCTCAGTGAGTAAACACATGTCTTCAGCTGCTAAGAGTAACAACAACAAGTGTCCAAAAGAGAGATCTGTAAGACACTGTTTTTTCCATTTACATTGATCCTCAGGCTGCCAGTCTTTTCACTGACAGTGTAGTGCCCCCAGCCGTGGAAGCCAGCAAGAACCAGTGGCCAAGAAAAGGATTTTGTGAAATATGTCACCTTTTCAATTCTGTTAGTACCCAGCCTGTAAACAGCACAAATGATCAGACCAGCTGAACTCAAAAATTGCTCACTGAGTTACAGCAATAATTCACTCTTGGCTGTAAGTAAATAATCTATAATCATAGCTGTGATATGTCTGAATTGAAAGCTAAGGACAAATACGCTTTCAAAACAGTAGAATATATTTCAGATAAGTGAAAATGCTCTTTTTAATCTCTACCTTAGAAGATATATAAAAATAAGGAGCAGTCAAATTTCAGGTTGACAAATTAGTGTAGGGAGATGCTTTCATAAGATTTTTTTTAACGTATTTAGAACTGAGTTTGTGAAAATACATCCATTAGGTTTCATCTTTTAAAAGGCTGACTTGGGATCTAATTCAGAAAGCTGATTTCTGATTCGGACTTTGCTATTGAACTGAGTTGGTAATTTTTTGGCAAGACACTTGACAACCTGTGCCCTTTTCTTTCCTTCCTTCTTACATACTCTTATTCCCTGTTCTGTTGAACAGGTCGTGTGTCTGATTCTGTATATTTTTTTTGTACCTAGCAAGTTGGGCAGCAGTAACATGTGAGGGCCAAAGATCAGAAAGTGAAAATGTTGGAAAAAGAAATCCTTACGTGAGCTAGTAAGCCACAGAAAAGCTGGAGAAGAGATTGCTTGAGTTAAAATTCACGTCATGCTAATTATAAGCATTCTTTTGCAGAATCCTGATTTTTGTATTTTTTTTAAATGGGCAAAATAATATTCGTTTGACTAGAGAGCAGTGAGATAAACAGATGTTGTTCGTTGCTTAAGCGTAACCCTAATTCTGATTCTGTATGCGTATGCAAGTTCGTTCATGCAGAGCTCAGTCAGAGGTGTAATGGAATCTTCTCATTTAAGAGGCGAGTTTGAGCACTAAAGGAGACTTTTGTTGCTCCTTGTGGCAGGTTATTCTTCAGAAAGTAGACGTATAGGCATTAAGTGAACCCAGTGATTGTGGTTTTATCATAATTAATTCTTCTTTGTTTTGCTGCCCACTTCTGAAATATAATTTAAAATAAACAACACAGAAACATTACGTTTCCTTTTTTGTTCATTTGTTTTTTTCCAGAAAGCCAACCAGAAGAAAAATCTGAAAGCAGCGGTGCTGGTGAGTGTGGGACACTTTCTTTGAAACACTTAAGAAATGAGTTATGACTGCAGTTTTTCAGTTTTGTTTTCATTTTTTTTACCTACCAATTTCTTGGAGTCTTTTTTGTTGTATTTCTAGGGTAGAGCATCATAAAATTGAAAAACAACTTAATAAACTGTCTGATACAGCCAAAGGCTTAAATTATTCATATGTCTTATTTAAATGAAAAAAATATAATGATGGAGGAGAGTTTTACAAAATGTAATTTTTTAGACTCTCTTAGGTTTTGATTTGGAATTTCTGGTCTCTTTAAGTTCATTATCTGCTTGCGTCTCGATATTTTTACTTCTTTCCTCTTGATTGGAAAGTTTGTGGCAGTTTTCTAAAGCTGTAGGTATTTCATTTTGCTTACACAGGCTAAGCAGTCAGAAAAACAGTGTTCTGGTATTGTATTTTATTCGGTTTTCCTAATGCTTGTGAAAGATTAATAAATTCTTTGGAGTCAAGAGGAAGAATTGTTAGTTTAGTGACATTACTTGCCAGTTACCTATTAGTTAGGCCCGAAATCTCTTGGTACTGTTAAGTACTGTTAAAAATTTCAAGAGCGCTGCTGAAAACTGTAATTGCTAAAATAGAAATATTTTTTACAGTGTTTAAAGAAGCAAATGAAAGTTGAATATGTATTGCCTTCAGGTTGTTGATACTTATTTTTATTTGTGAAATCAGTAACACGCTTGTATCAAATAAGCTTGGGAATCTACAGATTTTATTTCCAGGTCTGAGCTAATGTGCACAGAACTCCTTTACGATCAGGGAAACGATAGTTCCAGCAAGTGTTTGGCTTATTCTAAGATAGGTTCGTGCAAGTGCAGTTCCCCAGCAGTTGAAGTAGAGCTCTCTTGAGGCTGTGTGGTCTGAGCCTTCTGCTAAATTCTTTGGGCTTACCTGAATGACATTCCCAGATATGTGCATGATGGCATGAGAATTTTACAGTGTCAGGTATTGTTTAATAGAAGTTCCCTTTTTGCTTTTATTAAAGAAAGAGATGTTTCCAAAATGTCATTAATGTACTTGAGCAAATAAGTGATGGTATTAGCAAGAGCCTGAGAACTTGGGAAACTAGACATAGCTAACGCAAAATACATACTGGGTCTTGTTAGTAGAAGGATTACCTATGATGCATGCAGATTAAGGATAGTAGGGACTGGGCTGACAATCATAAGTAGTAGTGGTAGAGACAGTAGATGGGCTGGAGGGAGTCTCATATCCCCACCTTTCTCAGAAGTAATCCCTAAACACGATCCTAACACAAGTGGGTTTTGAAAGTGATTTATGGAATATAATTTTTCAGACACTCTATACAGATGTCTGGGTTTTTTTTCCTAATATTTTGCTTCCATTCGAGTTGCATTTCAACTTCAAAGATTGTCAAAAGCATATACCTATTTTGTGTATGGATGTGAGTAGAATTTTTTTTTTGGAGGAGGAAGTGTGTTCTTTTTAATATTGAGATGCCTTTTGTTACAGTGGCTTGCGAGTGCCCAGAGATTTATGACTAGTGGTAGAGATGTTATAGCCTGTAGACTTGTAATGAATCCAAGGTGTGTTTTATAGTTTGAAATGTTTTTCAGTTACTTGTTAAAATCTGTTCACTCTGATTATATTTTAATTGTGGTGTGACTTTAAGGTAATAAAGGGCTAGCTTCTTTTCTCCCTTATTTTTTTGTTTGCTTGTTTTGAATGATTGGATCGTCTGCTTTTTACTCTTTCTCTCTTTCTTGTCCTGGTTAAATCATGCAAGATGACCATGTGCTTGCGTATTAACCAGAACAGCAGAATGTACAAAAGTCAAAGAAATAAAGCATTTTCTCGAATGTTGTCTGTATTTTGCTTCAGTCAGCAGAATGGGGATGTAAAGGAAGATTTAATGGCGTTTAAAGGAAGAATCTTAGTGATCAGTTGTTCTTCTTTTTCTCTGAAAACCATCATGGAACTTGGATGACCTTTTCCAGACTACCTTTTGTGTAATTCAGCTTAAATTTCCCATTTCACTATTTACCTACTTTATGTTGGCCTACAACAAGTACTTTAGAGGCAAAAATGAGCCCTTTATGTATCTGTGTAGTATTTTAGGATAAATACTAAGCTAAGCATTTGGGTCTAAGCAAGACCAAAATGGCTGCTTTTAGGTATTACCGTAATAAAAATACGTAAAGCTTATTTGTAGTTAGAAAGTAAAGAAAGGAAGTGAATGAGACAGATGCAGTATTAGAAGACTATGGATAACCTTCAGAAATTCTTTGATTTACTTCCTTAAGAAGTTCCCCGATCTTTTTAGATTAAGAGGGTACTGTCTTTCTTCCAAATTTCATCTGTGATATTTTTAAACACATTTATTGTGGGGAGAGTTGTGAGCCACTCAGCAAAAGGCAGGATGTTACCAGTGTTGTCACCCAGTTTGATACTGCATGGAGAGAGAGCGCACGATACTGGGTCAGACTGAAGATCCATCTGTCTTCAGAGGTGGCCAATAGCAGATGCTTAGAGAAGAGTAAAAGAACAAAGCGAATAGTGATACCTCCCCGAAATACTTCTTCCAGCCTTTATTGGTTTGCAACTCAGAGAGCTCCAGAGCTAGAGATGATGTCGTTTTATTTAAATGGCCTTCATGGATTTTTCTCTTATGAAATAGAAGAAGTCTCTTGGTTTCTGAACCCGTTTAAACTTCTACTATCCATCAAGTATCGAATGATGCTAAGGTTGCTGTCAAAAAGGTCAGGAATTAAAGACGTATCTGAAACAGTTTACCTAAACTAAATGTGGTTTTCTTTTGTATATACTGTTTGATAACTGCAGACAGAGATCCTGTTTGATTAATGCGTGTGATAAACAGCACTCAGGGATTCATCCAATTTTGTGCTGTATCTGAAGGCTGTTTGGTGTTCAGTGTAAAAGGAGTGTAGTGAGTTAGGCGTCAGCTAAAGGAAAAAAGAAATGAGGAGAACTGTTTCTACCAGTTCTTGTATGATGCTGAGCAGGAAATTAAATCCAAACAGGTGAATGTCTCTCCTGTTTGCATGTGGCTTCTTTTGCATGTCCGTGACAAGTTGTGCCTGTAAGTGCTATCAGTGGTGGCAGAAGCTGTGAAACCCACAAAATTTCATCAATTAAAGGTGTGATCTGCAGCAGTCAGTAGAAGGCAAGAGTCCAAGAGGCCTAAAATATTACTTCTGGTTCTGCTGTTAGGTTTGGTGTGGCATTGGGCAGGCCTTCTACTTGTCTTAACTTCTGTGTTGACGGCGATAAATGTCTTTGCACAGCTGATGAGAATTATTCAGTTGATGTATGTACAGCGTCAGGCGTTGTAAAAAAACATCTGGCAGCTAAAACTAGCTGAAAGCCTGCTGACTGTGATTGTAATAGCACCCCAGATAAACAGCAACTCTATGAAAGGCTTTGCAATGAGCAGGTCTCATGGGATGAGCATGTTTCCCTCCCTTACCCAAATAAAAATATCCAGAGGTTGCTGCCCTGAGCCTCTGTAGTCTGTTAAAAATGGTGCTGTTAAAGAAATAGATTCCCCTATAAGTAGGGATGGTGATGTACTGTCCTTGTGGAAGTGTAATAAATTGAAGTTGCATGGGCAGCAATTGATGACAATGTTGCCTAGACCTTGCAAAAGTAATTTTGAAAGTGTAATATTTCTTTCATAAATGCGTGTGTATGTATCAGCTCTGTCCACAGAGTTCAACAGATTCATATTTTTCTTCAGGAATGTGTACATCAGGGAATGTTATGTTCCCGTACTCGTTGAAGTACCTGGACATGCTGCAAACAAAGTGCTCTGCTATTGAATCCAAATTTCACGTGTTAGTCTGGCATAAGTTCACGACGCACAGCAGCCATCAGAACTTAACATGCTTTTGGGGAAGGTATTAGTCATTCCTTTCCCTAAACCTGTCAGCAAGTAATATTAATGCCTTCTGGTGAGGCATTTCCTATTTCCTATTTGACTTCGGGTAAAAGGAATAAATTATCTGAGGTGCCGCAGCCAATATAGCATGAACCTGATATTAAAGTTTTGCCAGTTGCAAATATACATGTGTGACTGTGAACACAAATACGTAACATTTGAGCTGTCTGTAGATCACACTTAGTCATTTTTTTTGATATTGCAATAAAGATAATTATTTAAAAAATTTCAGATGTTGATTATATGTTTTGGAATACTTGAAATTCAGTGTAAGCACTTCCATAAACACTGAACTGCATGAAGTGCATTTTACAATTTCTTTGACAAAGGCACGGAGTTATTACATTATGTCACAATTGCATGAAACTGCTCTTAGGCTCACGTTTGATTTCTTCCATGTAAGTGGTTAAAATATTAATTATACTTCTAAAGCAAAACTAACAATGAGAGGGAAAATGATCAGGAGGAATAAAGCAGTAATCCTCAATTTAAATATTAGCTCAAACCTCAGTGTCGAAGGTAATTTAGATATGGAATGTGCTGTTTTCCAGCTGTAGAAACAGTTTTTGTCATGGAAATGTAACTGCTTTCTGTTGGCAGAAAATTACAATGAACATTTACATAATGAATTTTTCAGTAGCTCTCTGGGAATGGTAGTCGGTAATGAAGCTCCATTTGTGGCTATTAAAATACACACAGATGCAACCATTCCTGCTTTAAGGTGTGTATATAGACAAAGTCTATTACACTGGGTGTAATAAACTTTGTGGACATTCAAGGAGGTCGCACTGATAGAACAGCAGAAAGAACGTGGATTTAGTATAGGTCACTAATTGTAGCTAATTTTTTAAAAAAATTATGTAAGTGTTGTCTTTAGTGGACCACTATTTATTGTATTGTATGAATATTCTAATATTTATCTGTCTGACTGAGCAGCACTGATGTAATTAGGTTGCAGTCGTCTTTCTTTTGGTAGCAATTCAGATTTACCTCAAATGCCATCCAGTTTAAAAAATAAATTAAAAATGTCATATATCTTGTGAAG